CCTACACAAAAAAAAAAAAGGAGTTTTAGGGTAGAGAGCATTAGCAAAAAAAAAGAAGAAAAAGGAGTGAATTAGTTAAAGAGGCTAACAAAAAATCACAAGAAACAAACCTTTTATCTCTAGAAAAAAAGCCCAAAAAAAAAAAAACATGACCTCTACCCATTCCATCTTCCATACACTTATCATCTTCAATCTTTCCTACACTTATCTTCTTCTTCCTCAAGGTCCAAAAAAACAAAAAAGCCTAGCCCCATTATACTAAAACCTAGCAGCCAGCAAAGAATAGCTTTTTTTCCCTAAACCCACTGCCTTTTATTTTTTCCTTTACACCAGCACCAACCCAAACTTGTCTCACTCCCCCAACCTTTCTACCAATTAACTCTTAATCAATCCTTTCTAATGGAAGGGGTGTATGTGTAATAAATTTATTGGCATTGCTTGGCGAAAATAAAGACATTGTTTATGTTATGGAGTCTAGCTTTGGAGTTAATTTCGACCAGACCATAATAGGAATCTACTTTGATTCCTTTGTAAGTTGTGTCATACCAATAAAATTTGAATAAAAACACTCTATTATACTTGCTATGATATTGCAATTCAAGAACCTCTTCTAATATACCATAATAGTCAACTTCAAACTCATTACAAGTCGATCTTTAACACAAACACCACTGTTATATGTCTTTCTTTCATACCTGTATTCTTCGGTATGAAAGACATATCCATTGACAAAATACCTATTGTAGCACTTCACTTTTCTTTCAGGACCCAAGCTTAGTAAAGATAATAAAATACTAGCATTTCTTCCTATTTGATAAACCTTGTACATCAAATACAACAATGAACAGTACATGAAAATTTTGTAACAAAATAAAGTATCATGATAGATAATAAGTTTGTGATACTACTTACATGTATTTTGAACCATGTGGCAAATTGTTCATTGACATGACCAAAAAATTGATGTCTTCTTCCAAGTGCATGAGTGTTGAATTAATAAATAACCTAACAAGACTAGGATCAAACCACAAGGAGGTTAATTGTATAAATTATAGATAACAATAATACAACAATAACAATAACAACAACAATAGTAATAATAATAATAATAAAGAAGTTGATGAGAACTTTGAGATGGAAGATTAACGTAAGAATTAAACAATGATAACAACAAATATCAAGGTTAGAGGATCCACTAATGATATGTCAAACAAGTATAGTATAAACTCTTATTATTCAATTTGAAACCACACACAAAGGAGGTTCCAATTAGATTATAAATTGTTAACATGATTACATTAGTTATCTTATTCAATTAATGCTAATACTTGTAAATATTGTTAGGCAATCACGATTATAACTTATATTAACAACAAATCAAGTTCCTTTCATAGCTCAGGTGTCGGTTATATCATACAATATGGGCTATGAAAGTGTCAAGCATTTGTTGTACCAAGTGTTATATAACATAAATCTAGATTAGTCATTTAACAAGAAAAGTATTAAAGAGTGAACAAGATAACAAATACAAAACATGTTAGTATCAAACATTAAAGTCCATATTAAGTTTACACTATACTTATTCTTATACCATTAGTGTAACATTTTCACCTTAACATAATAAACTTAGCTAAACATAATGAAAGAAAGAAAAATAAATAAACAAAATAAGAACATAAATAAGATAAAAGTTAACTAAGTAAATGAAAGGACATGAAAGGCATAAACTTGATATTAATGAAAATAAAACTTAAGCATTACAAAAATACATAGAGAGAAAGCAAAAGCATGATCTTGATCTGGAGACCAAGATGTCTTAATGCATGGCAAATGCTTCCTTTTACAGGCCAAAATTAGAAACTATTGATTTGATGATTAATTGATGAGTGGGTGGTCACCTCTTGACTTGGTGACAATCTTTAACTTCTCTTGTCTGCCTAAAACATCATTGATAACGTCAAAATTAGAACCACTTGAAAACATGAAAGTTGTAAAAAATTGTCTCAGCTTTCCAAGAAAAAAACTAGAGATCATTTGGACTTCTAAAACTCTAGATATGGGCCAAACACTAAACAGTATTCAAGCTGCAGGATAGATTCAAACTTCTTCATGGTTGCTACAATTTAGACTTTAGGCTCCATATAAAACTTGTAAGCCTATGTCTTATCTTTCCATCCATATAAATTAAACCTAAATCCAAGATCTATAGCTCTAGATATGACCCAATTAGCGAATAGTGTTCCGATTTGGACTGCACTGGCATTTCTTTTCTAAGTTTGGCCATCTCTTTAATGGAGTTTATACTATACTTGTTTGACATACCATTAGTGGATCCTCTAACCTTGACATTTGTTGTTATCATTGTCTAATCCTTACATTGATCTTCCATCTTAAAGTTCTCATCAACTTCTTCTTTTTCTTCTTCCTTTTTCTTCTTTTTTTATTATTATTATTACTACTATTGTTATTGTTTATAATTTATACAATTAACCTCCCTATGATTCAACCCCAGTCTTGCCAGGTTATTTATTATTTTGACACTCCTGCATTTGAGAGAAGACATCAATCTTATGGTCATGTCAAGTTCTTGGCACCATTGCCGAGGAGGTAAGTTCTTGTACAAATTATAGTATTTATTTTATTCTTTTTCACTTTTCTTGTATATAACTTTGTTTCTTTTCTCTTGTTTCTTCTTTTTTTGTTTTCTTCTTCCTTTTATTCTATTCTTACATGTGCATGAGAGTGTGGTCACGTACATTAAGTGGTAGACTTTGTAGGGTATCCTCTTCATTTTCAGGAAATATGGCCAAAGAAGATAATCAATCACTTCATAATGAGAATAGTCGTGTTAGAACACTTAGAAACCACATGAATCCCACAAGAACAAGTGCACCATCATGCATAGTTTTTCCTCCTGATGCATCTCATTTTAATTTTAAGCCAAGCATTATTCAACTTTTACCTTCTTTTCATGGCTTAGATTTAGAAAATCCATACTTGAATTTAAGGGAATTTGAGGAGGTCTGTAACACCTATAATGACTCAAATTGTAGCATGAACACCATCAGGTTAAAGCTTTTTCCTTTTTCATTAAAAGATAAAGCTAAAACATGTCTACAAAATTTGAGACCAAGATCCTTTCATGCTTAGGATGAAATACAATAACAATTTTTAAAGAAGTGTTTTCCATATCACATAACAAACTCTTTCAAAAGACAAATCACCACTTTCACTAAAAACCCAGGAGAAACATTTTACTAATGTTGGGATAGGTATCGGGACTTGCTTAATATTTGCCCTTGTCATGGTTTTGAAACATGGAGATTGGTTTCACATTTTTATAATGGGTTAACACCTAGAGATAAGCAAATGGTTGAATTGATATGCAATGAAACTTTTAAAGATAAAAACCCTAATGAAGCAATGGAGTACTTAGACTCGTTAGCTGAAAATGCTCAAAATTGGAACACCGTGAGTACTTATGAGGCACTGAGTAAAACTCATCCTCATACATCTAGTGGAGGTATATATAACTTTAGGAAAGATCGTGAACTCCAAGCCAAATTTGCATCTTTAGCTAAAATATTCGGGGCACTAGAATTGAAAAAGATTGGTCAATTAAAATCTATTAAAAACATTGTGTGTCAAATATGTGGAACAAATGAACACTCAACCAATAACTGTCCAACCTTGCTTTCTTTTAAGGAATGTCTTCATGAATAAGTCCATGCTCTAAACAGTTTTCAAATGGCCAACCACAACCCGTACTCACAAACATACAACCCCGGTTGGAGAAATCACCTAAATTTTAATTGGAAGAGTGATAATAACAACATACAAACTTCACAACCACCATTTCAAGCACACCATAATTTCCAAAATTTTCATCAATATGCACCTCCTTATGCTCCACCTCCTAGAAGAAATCTTGAGGAAACATTACATGCATTCATTGAAAAGCAAGAGACAATCAATACTCAACTTGCTCAAAACATGACAAATTTTAAAGATACTCTCAATTTCCAAGTGAAAGGTAGGTTTCCATCTCAACCACAACAAAATTCCAGGAGGCAATACAATGCAAATGCAAGTAGTTCCGAAGCCAACACATGGATCAAGTCAAATCAGTCACTACTCTTTGCAGTGCTAAGGTTATTGAAAAATCTAGTCTTGAACCTTATAAGAAAGATGAGTTAATCTCTGAAGGTAAGGAAGGGGTTGAATTTGAAAATTACAAAGAAAGGACTAATTCCCTGCCAACACTTTCATTTTCTCATGCTATGACCAAACAAAGGAAAGTTAAAATCCTTGAAACTTTCAAAAAGTTAAGGATCAATATGCCTTTACTGGATGCTATTAAACAGGTTCCTTCTTATGCTAAATTTTTGAAAGATCTGTCCACTGCGAAGAGAAAACTGAATGTGAAAAAGAAAGCCTTTTTAGCTGAACAAGTAAGTACCGTTCTTCAGAATAATAATGCTTTGAAATATAAAGACCCTGGTTGTCCTATAATTTCTTACTTTATTGGAGAACATAAAATTAAAAGAGCCTTACTTGATCTTGAAGCCAGTGTGAATTTACTTCCATATTCAGTTTTTCAAAGTCTTAATCTAGATGAGTTAAAACCAACTTCTGTAACTCTTTTACTTGCCGATAGATCTATAAAAGTGCCTAGAGGAATAGTCAAGGATATGTTGGTACAAGTCAATAAATCCATTTATCTTGTGGATTTTATTGTCTTGGACACACAACCTATTGAAGCATGTAATTCATTTCCTGTTATTTTAGGATGTCCATTTCTTGCAACTTCTAATGCATTGAATAATTGTAGGAATAGAGTGATGAAGTTATCATTTGGAAACATGACATTGGAGATGAATATTTTCAACATTTGCAAGCAACCTAGAGATGATAATGAATTACAAGAAGTAGATCATATTGAGGAATTAGTTTATGATCAACTTGAATCTACTCTAAGTAAAAATGAGTTGGATGAATCTGAAGATTTGTAAATGATTTATTCTAAGGAAGAAATCATGGATGAAAAACGCACAAAAAATGTTGATGTGGATCTTTTGTCAAAAGTGATAACAGATTCGACATCTGACATCACACCAATTGATGATTACTTTCCTGACAAATCCTTACTTTCTCTTAGTCTAATGCTTGGTATGATAAAAATCTTTATTTTCTTGCTTCAGGATTTTTGCTAGCTCACTAGAGTATAGAAGACAAAAGAAAATTTTTAAGCAACGTGCAAAACTTTTATTGTGATGACCCTAACTTATTCAAATATTATCCTAATCAAATATTTCAAAGATGCATTCCTAACAATGAGGTAAGTAGTGTCATTAAACTTTGTCATTCTGAAGCATGTGGGAGTCATTTATCGTCAAAAGAGACAACTGAGAAAATTTTTCAAAATAGATTTTATTGGCCCACAATGTTCAAGGACACATGGATTTTATTGGCCCACCATGTTCAAGGACACGTATACATTATGCAAAACTTGTGAAAATTGTCAAAAAGTTGATACTGGTCAAAAAGTTTTGTTGTATAATTCTCGACTCCATTTATTCCCTAGAGAGCTAAGATCAAGATGGAGCAGTCCATATGGGGCCTGTGATATTGAGAATTCAATGAATGACATATTGAGAAACATATGTATCCTTATGGGGCTTTTGATATTGATAATCCAAATAATGACAATGTTTTCAAGATAAATGGACATCGTTTGAAAGCTTACTTTGATAATTTTCCAAGTGAAAATGAATCCACTAGTTTAAATGTGGGAGTCATTTGTCGTTAAAAGAGACAACTGAGAAAATTTTTCAAAATAGATTTTATTGGCCCACAATGTTCAAGGACACGTATACATTATGCAAAACTTGTGAAAATTGTCAAAAAGTTGATACTGGTCAAAAAGTTTTGTTGTATAATTCTCGACTCCATTTATTCCCTAGAGAGCTAAGATCAAGATGGAGCAGTCCATTTATTGAGAAACATATGTATCCTTATGGGGCTTTTGATATTGAGAATCCAAATAATGACAATGTTTTCAAGATAAATGGACATCGTTTGAAAGCTTACTTTGATAATTTTCCAAGTGAAAATGAATCTACTAGTTTGAATGATCCTATAGATAAAGGTTGATTATTTTGTTTTTCTGACATTGTTTTTGTGTTTTGCTTCTTCTTTTTTTGTGACTCTTGGTTTGCTAGTCTCTCTCACCCCAATTAAATGGTGGAGAATGGTTCTCCGTGACTTTTAAGTCAGTTCTTTTAGTTTCCTATAATAACTAATATGTGTGTATATATTTATTCAATTCGTTGTTCCTTCTCTTCTCTTTGCATCTCTTTTCCACTTCTCATCTTAAAAAATGGACACCACTCTTGAAAAATTAAAAAAGTATTTTCTCGTTTTGCCTCAAAATGCGATTACAAAAATTTACCGAGCTAGGTGTGCAAGATTGAGGTTATTAATAAACCATGAAATTCCTAAAGAGATTCACTGGTTAATTAAAGAAAAGGTCTGATTATCAAGTGAGTCTTCCAATTCTTTCATTTCACACATACTTGGAATAGGTAAAAGCATTGTTGCAAAGAAACATCATGCAAAACAACTGAAAGTCTGCCATCGATGTGCCAAATGGACTTGCAATGCAAAATGTCAATCTTTAGGAATGGTATCTATAAACTATGAAGATAAAATATTATTCATTAAGGATGACCTGAGTAAGGGGTCTTTAGATAATCTTCTATTGACTCTTGAGACGCATCCTAGTGGAGATGTGCATTGCGCAATTCATGATTTATGGCCATTATTCCATAAAGAACATGCTTGATATAGTCTTTGGAATCTGACTAAAAAAGACATTGTTTGCCAGTTTTTATGAAAACTAGATAGGAAGCCTATCCCCGACCCATAGAGGGCGTTTAAGCCGTTTTTGGACATAAAACCAAAGGAAGATGTGAGCTACAATCACAACTGCGATTTGAGTCTTAGTTTGTAAAAACTTGTGTTTTTTGTTTTTATTAATAGCATAATATTTGTGTTTTGTTGTTTCTATATTTGTTTAAGAGTGTTTAAGGTTTGTCAGTGTTTGTTATTTCAGGTGATGTCTTCTATACTCTATCTTTCTACTTGAAGACAATGTCTTGTTTTGGTTAGGGAAAAGGGTAGTAGTTGACAAAAAAAAATTAACTAACTATGTATTCCATTTCATAAAGCATGTGCAAAATTATTTTTACTAGGATGGCAAAGTAAATGAGCTCTTTTGTTAAAGTGACTCTTGAGACGCATCTTAGTAACAATTCTGAACAAGGTCTATTATAATATTTCTTGAAAAATTCTAGTTTACAAGCTCTCACTTTAGTATCACTTAATTCTGCTCATACTCATGTAACATGTATTCTTAAATCTTAATTTTCACACACACACTTTAACATATGATTGTGAGTTGCGCATTGGATTATTACATTATTTATGTTTTTTAGTTAAAGGTAACAACTAAGGGAAAGGGATAGTATATAATTTGAAAAAAAAAAGCAAAAAAAATGATGATAATAAAAATATAGATAAGTATGGTTTCGCAGCCTCCCTAACCTAAGCAATTAAGCATGAAGGGGTGTTTTAACACCTAATACCCTAAACTCAACTCACTTGGGAGCTATTGGCCCAACGCTTATTACATGGGTTAAAGAGAAAAGCTTAAAAAAATCAAACATTGCACTATCTACGTATCAGTGTCGGCAACTCGAGTTACTAAGCACGTAGGGGTGTATCAATACCTAATGCCTTAAGGCCAACTGGTCTGAGAGTCATTAGCCGAAAGCTCGTTACATGGGTTAAAGATGCATAGTGTTTTAAGTTATATGTATATATATTAAAAAAAGAAAAAAATAATAATAATCCCAATCTAAAGAAGTTAACCTTAAACATTAGAATAAAAATTTTGTTTTCTTCTAAGAAAAGCCCCATAACTATGTGTTGATATATTGAGCACAAAAGAAAGGTTTATTAATATCTTGTTTAAGAGGTATTAAGCAGATATATAAATTTAATAAGAGTTTGTTTATTTGGATAGATTAATGGAAGTTGAATGATGAATAACTCGCTTTATGAAATTTACAAATTGTTTTTCTATTTTAACATTTTGATTACTAGAGACTAGTAATAAGCTGATTGGGGGGGTGTGATTTGTACTTAAAAGTGCATTTTTATCAAGGTTTTAAATCATCATTTTGCACTTGAAGTATCAATAACTCCTTAACTAAAGCATGTTTTATAATAACATATCTAATAATATAAGATACCTTCAATTTATGGCAAATGTTCATTTTAAATGCAGACTTATCATAAAAATGAAAGGATTGATTGATGAATTTAAGAACTAAAATTGAAAGGACAAAGAGACAGCCAAACTTAGAAAAGAGATGTTGGTGTAGTCCAAACCAGAACACTGTTCGGTAATTGAGTCATATCTGGAGCTGTAGATATTGGATTTAGTTCTACTTTATATGGATGGAAATGTAAGATATAGGCCTATAACTTTTATATGGAGCCCAAGATTTAAAAATGCCATTTTCAAGTCCAAATTATAGCAATAACAAAGAAGTTTGAATCTATCCTATAGCTTGTGCACTATTTAGTGTTTGGCCTATATTTGGAGTTCTAAAAGTCCAAATGACCTCCATTTTTATTTCCTGGAAAGCTGGGACAATTACTTACAACTTTCATGTTTTCAAATGGTTCTAATTTTGACGTTATCAAAGATGTTTTGGGCAAACAAGAGAAGATAAGGATTGTCACCAAGTCAAGAGTTGGCCACCCACTCGTCAATTAGTCATCAAATCAATAGTTCCCAATTTTTGCCTATAAAAGGAGGCATTTGTTATGCATTTAGACATCTTGGTCTCTAGATCAAGATCATGTTCTTGCTTTCTCTTTTAGTATTTCTGTAATGATGATATAAAACCTTGATCAAAATATACTTTTAAGTATTAATCATTCATCTTGTAATCTAAAGATTTGGGATTCGGTCAAGTGTGAGTTATTTGACAATAAATATTGTCGATGTTGCCTACAAGGTTTTCAAAATTGTATGAGTTTGTGATATTATAATAGATAAATAGTCCATTTATAACAAAGTTTAAGTGGTATATATACTTATTGAATAAAAGGTCTCAATTCATCGCAATTAAATAACATATAATTGTGTGCTTGTTGAAACTCTATTTCAGACAAATAACTTCCCCTTATAGTATTTTTAGGTATGGGTCATCCAATATTGGAGAATATTGACAAGTTCTCACTTGAAGACACTTCACCACCATCATTATGTCGTGGAATATTGTTGATTCTTGTTCTCAAATGAGGCTTGAAATAGTACGAAATAAATGTTGAGATCTTCTCAACAATATAGGTCTCACATATCGAAGCCTCAACATGCGCCTTGTTTTTAACCTTTTTCTTAAGATTAAACAAGTACCTATATTGAATTAAATAAATATTTTCAATTAAGAAAAACAATGAAAATACATTAATCATTACATTGCATCTGTAATATCTAACCTCTCAAATAGATACATCCATTTATACTGGATTGGGCTCCAACTTTTGCCTCATATGGTAAATGTATAGGTAGATGCTCCATCAAGTCAAAAAATAATTAAGGGAATATCATTTCAAGTTTGCATATTATCTCAACGATATTCGTTTCAAGCCTCTCAATATGATGTGTGTGCAACTTGTTACCGCATATATCTCTAAAGAAATGATTGATCTGCGTGAGTGCATCTCATATCCCTTTTGGCAATAAATCACAATAAGTTAATGGAATGAGTATTTGTATGAACACATGGCAGTCATGGCTCTTCATTCCATACAATCTACATTTCTGCAAATTAACCAACTTTGATATGTTCGAGGCATGTCCATCGAGAAAACATAGACTCTTAAGTCATTAATAGACTAGTAGTTGTGTATCCTTCTCTAAGGTGAAGCTTACTTTCAATTTTGCGACTCATGACCCATTAAAAAACCAACTTCATATTTTTACAATGACAAAATAATGATATATCCATTCATTTTAACCTTGATGTTGTCCTTTGTCTTCCCCTTTACGTCCATAACCATGTTGAAAATGTTTGCAAACACATTTTTTTCTATATGCTTGATGTTAAGGTTATGGCAGAGGAGATTGGTCTTCCAATAAAAAAGCTCCCAGAAAATACTTTGCCTTACCCAGTTATGGGTCAAACCAAAACTAGGAAACTTCTGCTTACCAAATTGGAAACCAAACACAATATCACCGTACTATAACACCATGTCATGCAATTCTTCACTAGAAAGACGCGCGAGGACATCCTTTTCAACGCTCCAAACAAAGAAATCCTTTTTGTTCTTTTTATACTTGTGATCTGGTGGCAACAAACACTAGTGGCAGTAAAAAAAAGACAATTTACTTCTACTTGTTATCATGAATGCCTTGTTGTTTACTATGCAGTGTGGACATGCTAGTTTTCCATACATGCTCTAATCAGAAACCATTCCATAAGCTAAACAAATCATTGTGGTCCACATCAAAGCTGCCCTCATAAGAAAATTATATTTTCTCGATACATCATAAGTCAAAGCCCTAGAGGACCACAACTGCATTAGCTCATCAATCAACGATCGAAGACAAACATCTATATTTCAGCCCAGACTGTTAAAATTGGGTATGACTATAGATAAAAATATGAACTTCAGTCTCATACACATCCTTGATAGTAAGTTGTAAACCGTGAGTATAATCAGCTAATAAGAATAAGGAGCATCTAAGTTTTTTGTATGCCACAAGAGTCTCTCCCACACAAATTCTAGGTTTGTAACAGGAATGCTCTTATGTCATGCACTCGGTCAGTTCAACATTTTCAAGGTAGTACATCATACAAAAGTTTGGACACATGTTAATTTTCGAGTATCTTAAACCGAGGGGTTTCATCATAGACTTAGTAGTATAAAAGCTCTCTTTCAGCCTATTCCCTTCAAGTAAAATGCTTCTTGGCCATTCGGTAATTTTATCATAACTGGCCTTACTCAACCTATAATCCAACTTGATGGTGAACACATGAGCAACGATCGATTATTTACTCTAATTTGTGAAACCATCCCATAATGGTTCGCCAAAATCTTTCAACAAATCAAAAAACCTGGTCGCGTCTGCATTAGGTTCT